GAATTTCGCACCCTTTTGCTGCCCAGGTCTACCCCATGCGCTCCCTGAAGCACCTGCAGTGGTGCGTCGCGACCATCGCGGGCCGCGCGCCGGCGCTGCCCCATGCGTTCCGCTTTCTGTGGGAGTACTCGAACGCGTACCTCCGCTGCATGGGCGCGACGCTCGGCCGCCGCTTCCGCCTCTTCCCGCACCCGCAGTGGTCCGTCGCCGGGTCCTCGGAGGCGGATTTGGTGACCTACGGCGACGACGTCGACCTGGGGGTGACGCTCTACGCGCACGACTTCTCGAACATGCACCTCCAGTTCAAGCCCGTGACCGTCGGCGACCGCATGCACTCCATCGGCGCGAAGACGCAGATCCTCCCGGGCTCCGAGCTGCCCGACGGCACGACGATCCTCCCCAACGGCTTCAACCTCGTCTTCCCGGGCGTCATCGAGGGCGCGAACAAGTACTGGGCGGGCAACCCCGTCCGCGTCGTCCGCCCGGACGACGTCCCCCGCGCGCAGCGCCGCCGCGACATCGCCATGGACGACGGCGACGGCGACGCCGAGGACGCGCCGCTCCTCTTCCACCTGTAATGGGAGGGTGCTGGTCCCTTTTGGGTCGGGGTTGGGTGGAATCGAAGGGAGAGAGAACAGCGAAGGGAGGCGTAGGTCAGGGATGGGTCGAGTGGCGCCATGGCGCCGCGGCGTCGCGCGCGCGAGCGCGCCGCGGACGCGAGAAGCGGCCGTAGAAATCACAAAAACGAGCATTCTAAAAAGTTTGCGTCCGCCTGGCCGAGCAGTGGATCTGCGGCGAGCATCTCAATTCACTCTCTCCGTGCCGTCCGGCGTCTAAGAACGACATTCACGGTCCCTGAGCGCCCCGGGAACCCCTTGAGAGACGCCGCGTGCAACTCGGGACGACCTGGGCCGCCCCAGCATTGAGAGGTGCTCGCCTGTTTGCGTTCGAACAGGGGGCCGCATTCGCGCCGCCCGCTCCGCGTCGCGCTCGGCCCGTCGACGGACGCCGAGCGGCCCCTCTGCGCGATTGGCGCGCCGCGCGTCGCCGCTCATCGCTTCGCCGCGTCGTCGAAGGACGCGCGCCCCGTCCGTCGACCGTCGCCGCGGAACGCGTTCGCGACCCGCCGGCGCCCGCAGGCACCGCATCTTGTCGAGCGCGCGCCATGCGGCCGCCCCCGATGCGCGCGTGCGCCCTCGCCTTCCTCGCCTCCGCCGCGGCGACGTGCACGACGACCGTGAGGGTCGGCACGTTCGACGAGGCGAATCCCTACACGGTCGCGGCGATGACGCAGTGGCTCGACGACGACGACGCGTGCTTCGTGTTCTACCGCGAGACCTCCGGCGGCCGCTCCATCCAGCACCTCGAGGCCGGCGACCTCGACATGGCCATGCTCGGGTCGACGCCGTACGCGACGGCGGCCGCGCGGCGCGCGGGCGTGTCCGCGGTGTCGATCCTCCACTTCAAGGGCGCGGCGCAGGCCCTCGTCACGCGGCCGGACCTGACCGCGCCCCAGGACCTCGCGGGGACCGTCCTCTGGACGCCCTACACGTCCACGACCCACTACATCCTCCTCGCGGGCCTCGCGCAGGCGGGCTTCGACGTCGACGAGGTCGCGCTCGTGACCAAATCCCCGGCCGAGATCATCGCGGCGTGGGACGCGGGCGACATCGACGGCGCGGCGTGCTGGGGCAACACGATGCAGCACCTCCTGGACAACGCGTGGGGCGGCGAGGGCGGCGGGCTCGGCCGCGCGATGATCGACGCCGCGACGGTCGCGCAGTGGGGCTTCGAGACGGGCAACGTGCTCGGCGCCTCCGACGCCTTCCTCGCGGCCCACGGCGGCGACGGCGGCCTCGTGGAGCGCGTCGTCGGCGCCTTCGCGCGCGCGAACTACGACTACGCTGCGTCCGTGCAGAGCGGGTCCTGGGCGTCCGACGGCGACCTGACGGAGCTCGTCGACCACTTCGTCTACCTGAGCGACTCGACGGGCACGGAGCCCCACGACTGGGACGAGCACCACGACGACGTCTACGATCGCATCCACAAATTCGAGTACCCGACGATCGCGGAGCAGCTCGACTTCGACATCGCGGCGATGACGCGGCGCCAGGCGTCGTTCCTCTACCTCCAGAAGGCGCTCGCGTCGGACCCCGCGTCCGACAGCCTCGACTACTACGCCTCGACCTTCGACGCGAGCATCCTCGAGGACCTCGCGCGCGGCTCGAACGAGGCCGTCGCGCTCGACGCGGCCGGGGTGTCTAGCCGCGGGTGGCCCGCCGCCGTCGACGTCGCGAACGTGCCCCCGCCGGAGCAGTACCCGTCGAGCGACGACCCGGGCTGCGCGGCCTTCTCGTCGCTGCGCGTGTCGAACGGCGGGTCGACCTTCGACGACGGGTCGACGGCCACGAACGCGTACGCGGCGGACGCGACGTGCGTCTGGGCCGTCACGCCGGAGTCGGAGATGGCGGAATGCGCGACAGTATCCCTGACCCGCCTCGCGTCCGAGGCGCCCCACGACGTGCTCGAGGTCTTCGCCGCGAACGGCGACTTGCTGGCCAGGTACATGGGCCGCCACTTGGAGGGCTCCGAGCACCCGGCGGTCACGGGCTGCTACGACGCCTCGGTCTCCGACCCGCGGGCCGTCGCCGCGGCGCTCGTCGGCGACGGATTTTCGGGGGACTACCCCGACGACGCCGTCGCCCTCTACGTGCGCTGGAGCACGGACGGCTACGACGAGCACGCCGTCGGGCGGCTCGATGCCGTGGGCTTCGAGGCGTCGGCGACGGCGGCGTCGGCGGCGCCGCCCGCGTGCGACCCGGGCTACTCGGGCGCGTCCTGCGACCACGCGTACTGCATGGGCGTCCTCGACGTCGACGACGGCGCGGGGACGCTCCGGTCCCAGCCGTCGACGAGCGACCGCTACGCGCCGCGGTCGACCTGCGGCTGGCGCGTCTCGTCCGGCGCGAAGTCGCACGTGTCCCTCGACTTCACCTTCCTCGGCCTCGAGCGCGGCTTCGACTTCGTCCGCGTCTACGAGGGCGCCGGCGCGCTGCCGCCGGGCTACGGCGCGTCGTCGACGATCGCCGCGGGCGACTACGTCTACTCGCTCACGGGCGACGACCTGCCCGACTACCCCATCATCGTCGAGGGCGACGCCTTCGTCGTCTTCGAGAGCGACGGGCTGACGAACGCGATCGTCGACGGCGACGCCCTGGGCGTCGGCGGCTTCGAGGTCGCCTACGAGGCCTTCGACCGGACGTCGTGCGCGGCCGAGCGCTCCGCGGCGTTGGGCTGCCTCGCCGGCCTCGGCCGCGGGACCTGCTTGCCGGACCTGAGCTGCGACTGCAACATCGGCTACTACGGCTACAGCTGCGGCTTCGACCACTGCGTCGGCGACACGCACCTCGTTCCGGCGACACGCACGTCCGGCGAGATCAAATCGGGCCACGTCGACGACTACCCGTCGTCGACGACGTGCCTCTGGGTCTTCCAGGTGCCGACGAGCCTCGGCGCCGCGACCCTCGCGGGCCTGAGCCTCATCTTCCCGAAATTCGACCTCGAGTGGGGCGCCGCGAGCGGCTCGGCGACGTCGGACCACGTCGCCGTCTACCTCGTCGAGGACTACGACGCGCCGGACGTCGACGCGGGCCTCAAGGTCAAGGAGTACACGCGCGCGGACCTCGAGGACGGCGTCTTCGCGCTGTCGACCCAGGACGACATCCTCGTCTCGGAGGCGCAGATGGCGCCCTACTCCGACGGCGACGTCCTGAACGTCGTCGTCGCGTTCGAAGCGGACAAGAACAACCCGGAGCCCTACAGCGGCTTCGACGCCCACTTCGCGGGCTACTGGGTCGACGGCGAGGGGAACCCCGAGACGTTCTGCGACTACGGCGCCTCCAGCTTCTGGGAGTGCGACGAGGGCCAGACCTGCGGCGCCGAAAGTTACTGCGTGGCGTCGTCGGGCAGTTCGAAGAAGGGCGGCGTCCCCGTGGGGGCTATCGTTGGGATCGTCGTCGGCATGACCGTCGTCTTCGGCGCCGGCTTCTTCCTGCATCGCCCGGCGTCCCGCGGCCGCGACGATGTTCGAGAGATTTGGAACACGATGAAAAATCGTCACCGTCGTGCTTGGTAGGTATCGCCGCAAGAAGCTCAAGACGTCCCGCGCGCAAAAGGCGGAGATCGCCAAGGTCCGCGAGGAGCTCCAGCACTTCAAGGACAGCGTCATCGGCATGCGGTCCGTGTCCGTGCCCTTCGGGCCCGGCTCGGGGGCGGGGGCCGTCGCCATCGACGTCGCGGAGGAGCCCCTGGGGCCCGCCCGGTGGTACTGGGAGGAGTCGCCGCAGCGCATCCAGAACCACGCCGACGTCAAGCCGCCGTTCTGGGTGCCCTACGACGGTGCCGCGTCGTCGGCGCTCGAGGACGCGTACGCCGCGCGGAAGCCCGAGCTCTGGCTCAGCGACGTCTACGTCGTCGACTTTGCGAAGATGACGCAGACGAACACGCGGTCCGGCTTCGGGCGCAACGTGTCGCGCGACGCGCCCAAGAAGCTGCCCTCTCGCGCGCCGCGCGCCGCGGCCGACCGCGAGGCCGCGTCCCCGGACGAGCGGCCCGACGACATCGCCGACGACGAGCCCTTCCTCTACGTCGACGCCGGCGCCGTCATCCAGATCTCGCAGCAGCGCGACGACGGCTGGGGCTTCGGCTCCGTCGTCGACCTCGGCGACGGCGCGGCGCCGCCGGAGCTGCCGGAGCACTGGAGCCCGTCCTCCGGCTGGTTCCCCCTGGCCCACACGGACCCGCCGAGCTCCGAGCAGCTCGCCGAGCTGCAGAAGGCCCTCGGCGGCGGCGGCGCGGACGCGCTCGCGACGCCCAAGTACTGGGACGAGGTCAAGGACCCGCTCGTCGTCGAGTACTTCAAGCTCGACCCGCGGTCCGACGAGTTCCAGCGCGCGGCCGGCGTCTTCCTCCTCGAGGACGACCTCCGCCGGAAGTGCGACATCCTCTCCATCGAGCGCGTGCAGAACATCTCGCTCTGGCAGTCCTACTGCGTCAAGAAGTCGGCGACGATCGCGCGCGAGGCCGACCCCGCCGCGGCGACGCGCAAGTACGTCCGCTGCTGGCTCTTCCACGGCGCGCCGGGCGACGTCGTCCCCAAGATCCTCCAGCAGGGCTTCAACCGCTCCTTCTGCGGCAAGAACGCGACCTTCTTCGGCAAGGGCGTCTACTTCGCGCGCGACGCGTCCTACTCCGCGTACCCGCTCTACTGCCAGCCCGACAAGCACGGCGTCCAGTCCATCTTCCTCTGCCGCGTCGTCGTCGGCCAGTACTGCCAGGGCGTCCGCGACGGCCTCACGCCCGACGTCCGCGACCACGCGCGGAACCTCCTCTTCGACTCGACGGTCAACGACGTCGCCAACCCGGAGATCTTCGTCACCTACCACGACGCGCAGGCGTACCCGGAGTACCTCATCAAGTTCAAGCAACGCGGCGCCGTCGGCGGCCATCCGCAGACCGGCAATCGCCAGCACCCGCGCTACAAGAGCAACTGGGTCGCCGAGCTCGAGGAGGCCGGCAAGGCCTAGGCGCCCCCCCCAAGCAGCCCGACCCCCCAATAAAGAACCTCGCCGCCTCGCCGTGAGATCAGACCCGCCCCCTCGGCGACACCGTGCACGTCGTACTCGCGCCGAGGTTCAGCGTCAGGTCGTACTTGAAGCTGAGCTCCTCGCCCGCGCGGTCGAACGCGAGGTCGAAGTCCCGCAAGATCCGCGCCGTGCCGACGATGGACTCCGTCAGCCCGAGCCGCGTGCCGAGGCAGCCGCGCGGCCCCGCGCCGAACGGCAGCCAGGAGAACGTCGTCGGCGCGCCGCCGGTCACGGGGTCGTCGAGCCAGCGCGCGGGCCGGAACTCGGAGGCGTCGCTCCCCCAGGCCGCCGGGTCGCGGCCGAGGAACCAGGGCGACCAGCACATCGTCGCGCCCTCGGGGACCGCGCCGCCGAGGTCCGTCGCTCGGACGGACGTCCGCCCGATGAAGGGCACGGGCGGGAAGAGCCGCAGCACCTCGCGCGCGACGCCCGTGTGGTACGGCAGCTCGTCGCGCACCGCGTCGAGCGCCAGGTCGTCCCCGAGGGTCGCCGCCTCGGCGCGCGCGCGGTCGAGCGCCGCCGCGTGCCGCGGCTCGTGGAGGACGAAGAGCGCCGCCGCGATGGTCGACGCCGTCGTGTCGGACCCGGCGATGATGAGGTCGAACAGGATGTAGAGGATGTCCGCGTCCTCGAGCGTCGCGTCGCGCGCGAGGATCGACAGCAGGTCCGACGACCGCGCGGCGGCGCCGTCGTCGTCGAGCTCGCGGCGCCGGTACGCGATGAGGTCGTTGACGAGGAAGCGGAGCCGCGGCAGCAACGTCTCCGTGACCCTAACGTAGTTCGCCGACAGCGGCGGGTAGACCTGCCAGAGGGGCGGGATCTCGTTCGCCGTCGCGACGATGGCCTCGAGGTAGTCGCCGATGATCGTCGACAGCTCCTCCGCGTTTTCGTAGTCGGAGGTCCGCGCGTCGAGTCCAAAGGTCACCCTGAGCACGACCCTGAGCGTCAGCGACCGCGTCTCCGCGTAGAGGTCGAGCCGCGTCGACCCGCCGTCGCGGTCGCACGCGGCGCGCCAGCCGGCCGCGAGCGCGGCCGCCTCCTCGTCGAAGGCCGCGAGGAACGACGCCATGGACGCCGAGTTCTCGAAGGCCGGGATGCAGCGCCGCTTCTGCGACCGGTGGCGCTCGCCCTGCTCGTAGACGATGCCGCGGTCGAGGTCGAGCGTGCGGAACAGGGGCACGGAGAAGCGCCGCGGGTACGACTCCGCGTCCTCGAGGACGACGCGCTTCACGGACTCGGGCGACAGCAAGAAGTAGTAGTCGCCCGCGGGGCCGAGCGGCACGCGCGTCGCGCCGTCGTAGCCCTCGCGCTTGAGCGTGAGCATGAACTGCCACGGCGAGCCGTCGAGGCCGATGCCGACGAAGGACCGCAGCAGCGACGGACCCGGCGGCGGCGCCAGCGATCCGGGCGGCGGCGCCAGCGCGCGGACGGTCGCCGCGACGAGGAAGCAGCGCAGCGACGACGTCATGGTGTGCTAGCAGCGATGGCTGAGCGCTACGGCCTCAGTTTTGAGCAGCCATTGCATTCATGCATTGAGAAGAGCGATTCTTGGTCAACAAATCCAGGATGTTTGAGTTGCACACTTTGGGGAGCGGCGCTGCTGCCCAGGGTGCGGTCGTCGTGGGTGTTCGTGGCGGCGGCCGCGGGCACCACGTATTGAGGTTGTGCACCAGCGCCGACGACGAAACGTCTCGAAGGAAACGAAGGATCACCGGCGGCGATGAACCTCGGCGAGCGGTCGACGCAGTCGCTGCCGACGCTGCTGCGGCGCGACAGCCTGCAGGCGGAGATGGGCCTCTTCGCGTTCAGCGGGTCGCACAGCAGCGGCGGCTTCACGCAGGGCGGCGAGAGCGCGCTCGACTTCCGCGGCTCGAGCGCGCTGCTCGCGGGCCCCCTCGCGCCGCTCGGGTCCGACGCGGCGCCGCCGCTGCGCCACACGTACGCGCTGCTCAAGGGCCCGCCGGGCATCGGCGCGCGCCCCTTCCTCAAGCGGCTGCCGCACCAGGCGCCGCCGTCGGCGCACGGGAGGAACAAGAAGGACGTGACCATCTTCGAGTCCGAGGAGTCGCTGCGCCAGGTGCAGCTCGCGGCGACGCGCGTCGAGGAGCGGAAGATGGAGCAGGCGCGGCGCCGCGACGCGGCGCGGTTCAAGCGCGAGGAGAACACGAAGCTCGAGCGGAAGCGGCTCATGGCGGCGCTCGAGGAGCGGCGCACGCGCACGGACCGCGCGGAGGCCGCCGCGAAGCGCCAGTTGAGGGCGACGCTCTGGCTCGCGCTGCTCCACGGCGGCTGCTTCGCGCGGGCCTCGGGCCGGGGCCTCGGCGCGGGCCGGAAGCGCATCGCCGCGCGGCGCTGGCAGCACGCGGCCGTCGCCGTCGTCCAGCGCCTCTACCGCGCGCGCGCCGCGCGGCTCACGTGGCGCCGCTTCGCGTGCTACGCGCGTTTGATGCGCAAGCAAAGGTTGCGCATGTGCCTCCACGTGCGCTGCTTCAAGCGCTGGCACGCCATGAACGTCGTCAACAACTTTTTGCTCATGTTTGCGCACGACGCGTCGAAGCTCCAGATGCTCGTCATGCGCTTCACGACGAAGGTCTCCCTCTGCCAGGCCCTCGCGCGGCGCCACATCG